AGAATGGCCCTTATTAAAAAGTCAAAAAACAACAGATGTTGGCGAGATCTGGTGAACAGGGAACACTTATATACTGTTGGTGGGAATGCAAATTAGTATAACCTCTACGGAGATCAGCATGGAGATTTCTCAAAGAATTAAGAGTAGATCTACCATTCGATCCTGCAATCCCACTATTGGGTATCTACCCAGAGGAAAAGAAGTCATTATATCAAAAAGATACCTGCACTTGTATGTTTATCACAGCACAATTCATAGTCCCAAGGATATGGAATCAACCTAAGTGCCCATCAACTGATGAGTGGATAAAGAAAATGTGTTATATATAAACCATGGAATATTACTCAGTGATAAGAAAGAATGAAATAATATTTTTTGCAGCAACTTGGATGGAACTGGAGGTCATGATCCTAAGTGAAGTTAACTCAGGAACAGAACAATAAATGTCACATGTTTTCACTTATAAGTGGGAGCTAAATTATAGCTACACAAGGGCATAGAGAGTGGTATAATGCTGTGGTCCCCAACTCCCAGGCCGTGGCCCAGTACTGGTCCGTGGCCTGTTAGGAAATGGGCTGCCCATCACTGCCTGAGCTCCGCACCACCCTCCCCCGCCGCCCCACACCACCCAACCCTGGTCCGCGCAAAAACTGTCTTCCATGAAACCAGTCCCTGATGCCAAAAAGATTAGGGACCACTGGTATAATGGATTGGAGACTCATAAGGGGGGAAGGTGGGAAGGATGAGAGATAAAAAATGACCTATGGGGTACAATGTACACTATTTGGGTGAGGGGTGCACCAAAAGCCCAGACACCATCACTATACAATATACGCATGTAATGGAATTCAAGTTGCACCCTCTAAATCTATTCAAGCAAAAAGAATTTAAAATACATATATTACTATATTGAACAATAAAATATATATATAAATTCATTTTGCCTAGTACTTGCCTAGTACTTTCACAAGACTGCCCCTTAGGGAATAAATATCCAAAAAAAGTTAAAGTTTCAAAAAATTTAAATACTGGGTTATTTTGCAATTTCATATTTCTGCCCCTTATGAGAAGTTGACAAGGTATCATGAGAATACTAAACTAGCAAACAAATAAAACTCAGAGGTACTTACCTCCTTCTGTGGGCCTTTAATTTCTGAACATACTTCCAGTCTTTTTAAAACATCCTGGGTAACCTTGAGTGCATCTGAGAAGACAGTTTCATTTTCTAGAAGAAAATTCAGCTGGCAGTGTTTCCTCTCACACTCTGAATGTAAAACAAAATAAAACAAACCAGCAATTCATTATTCGAAATGATGTTTTAAACATTTAAGCTGTCTCAGAACCCTCGGGTCACGCACTGCACCTACGTGGTATCTAGCACATCAGTTATGAGTACGGACAACGGCACTCTCGCAGCTTCCTCCTTTGTGCCATCCTCAGCCCGGTTAAAATAATGGGTAATTACCAGAAATGGTACATCATTATTTCAGTACTGCTTTTCTGCTCTGTAGTTCATCTTAGACTTTCAACATTCAAAAACACAGATGCAAGGCCAGGCGCGGTGGCTCACGCCTGTAATCCTAGCACTCTGGGAGGCCGAGGCGCGTGGATCGCTCAAGGTCAGGAGTTCGAGACCAAGCCTGAGCAAGAGCGAGACCCCGTCTCTACCAAAAAATAGAAAGAAATGATCTGGACAACTAAAAATATATATATAGAAAAAAATTAGCCGGGCATGGTGGCACATGCCTGTAGTCCCAGTTACTCGGGAGGCTGAGGCAGAAAAATTGCTTGAGCCCAGGAGTTTGAGGTTGCTGTGAGCTAGGCTGACGCCATGGCACTCACTCTAGCCTGGGCAACAAAGCAAGACTCTGCCTCAAAAAAAAAAAAGAAACAAGCACAGATGCTTTCTTTTAAAAGAAGAATGCCCCAGTGGGGTACTGCACTGGATTTTGGTTTTCTACCTAACACGGTGGTCTTTGGTAAATTTATCAATGAAACATAGAAACTGAAAACAGAAAGGTAGATTACATGACAACTGTTACATGAATATTACCTGGTTCTGGGCTTGCCTCTTTTGCCTCACTAACGGTCTGCACAACAGGGGCAGGGGAACAAATTTCAGCTGTCTGAGGAGTCTCCACTGGGGTGTCTGCGTTCCCCTGAATCTCCTGGGCAGTGGGAGGGTCCACACTCATCTCCTGTGTGACTGTATGGACTGCTTCCTCCGTCTCAGCCTTCACGGGGGCCCCGGGAGTGGCAGAAACCTCTGAGGAAGAATGAGGCTCTCCAGCACCTTCAGAGGAAAGGATTTCTACTTGAGGCTTCTCTGATTCCTTCCTGAATGACTCTGAGGATGGTGCAGAGACATCCCTTACCACCTGACCCTGAACAGAGCAGTTTACAAGGCTGGTCAAAAGATTTTTACAACTAACAGCCACATCAAACATCTGTAGGCTGTCAGCTAAAGAGATGATTTTGGAGAAGTTGTGCTTGCCCACGGGGAGTCTGCCAGTGTACATCATTTCCAACAAGAGGGCAAACTCCTCAGGGCTCACCACTGAGGCATCGATGGAGATGGTGTCTGTGTTGTCCAGCAGGGTTTTGAACAGGAGGCTGGCGGCAGCCAGGACTAGTTTGTGAGCCCTAAAGTAAATGGTGCCAATGGAAATGGTGCAGTCACAGAACTGCTGCTCCTTGCACAGAGTGTAGAGCTGCTGCAGCAGCTGCCGGCTATAGTTGGGGAGCTCCATCGCGTCAATTTTGCCCCGAGAACTTCTCTTATTCTCTTCTTCCAGAGTCTACTTTGTGAGGATCAGCCCTAGAAAAACCCACAAAATACCATGTTAAAAGATCACACAGGGAAATGCCTTGAACGAAATGCTGAACAAACAAGGCAATTCACTCATTCAGCCAACAAACGTTGCTCAACAGGGCGGGGCAGTGTGCCAGGAATACTAAATTATAATAATAATGGTCACTATAATCCTCATGTGTTTAACTATATGAAAGGGACTATGCTTAGTGCTTTGTACGGATGATCTCATTGGATCGTCACAATGACTCCGTGGGAAACATGTTATTTCTTCCCCATTTTACAGATGAGACTGAAGCTTAGAGGGACCAAGAGAACCAGCGTAAAGAAGAACAGCCATTAAATGGCATGCCACATCTCACTGACTCCAAAGCTGTAACCACACAACTGTAGGGCTTTCCTGCCCCCATGAAGCTCTATAGCCACCTGGGGAAGACAAACATGTAGACAGACTTGTAATACAATGTCCTCAGCTTATTCAGTCTATCCGCAGCCTTGCTTGGAGGTCATCGTTCCCTCCTTAACGTGCATTTTTCACTTGTTTCTCCTGCCGACTCATCAGCCGTCCTTCTCAGTGTCCTTGTTGACTCTTCTTCCTCACTGTGGCCTCTAAAGTCTGGAATGCTCCAGGACTCAGTCATCCCACCTCCTCTCTCTTATCTGGTTCCATAACTTTGAAATATCATCTAAATGCTGACGGCTTTCAGATTTATAGCTCTGGCTCAGACCTCTCCTCTGAACTCCAGATGTACACCCCCGCCTACATAACTCAACATCTCCAATCGGAAACCTAACAGGTTTCTGAGACTTAACACACCCAAACTCTCCTGCCACCTTCCTGACTTCACAGTTCTGTCCTAGTTGTTCAGAACAAAAACCAAGTCATCCTTGACTTGTTTTTTTCTCATATCCTATATCCAATCCTTTAGAAATCCTGTTGGTTCTACTTTCAAAATATATCCAAAATCCAATCACTTGGCATTACCTTCACTGGCTCTATTCTGGTCCGTCTGAGCCATCATCGCCTTTTAGCTGGACTGTTTATTTCAACAACCTCCTAACTGGTCTCCACGCCTCCGCCCTTCCCCAGTGCTACCTCTACCTCACCCTGTCTTCAGCCCAGCGGTCAGAGTGATCTATTTAGCACACAGCCAGATCTTGTCACTTCTTTGCACAAAAAGCTTCAAATGGCTCCCAGCTTTAGAATAAAAGTCAAAGTTCTTATAATGGCCTACAAAGCCCTTCCTAACCTGGCTGTCCTCAGCTCTCTAACCTCATCTTCTACACTTTCCCCCTCACCCATTCTGCTCTAAGCACACTGCCCTCCTTGCTGACTTTGGAGCATACACAGCATGCTCTGCCTCAGGACTGCCTCCCCTCTCCGCATGGCTGGCTCACTTCCCCCAGGTCTCCGCTCAAAGGCCGTATCATTAGTAAGGCCTTCCCTGACCATGTTCTTTACACAACCTCCCCTACAACCTGAGAACAGCCCACCCCCCTCTGCTTTGTTTATCATCATAGCACTTATCACCTACCGACATACTGTATTTTTATTTATTATCTATCTGCTTCACTAGAATGTAAGCTCCATTACGTTAGGAACTTTATTTTATCATCTACTGTGTTCCAGTGCTTAAAATTCTGCTAACGCAAATATTGTTGATTAGTTGGTGGAATGAATAAACAATTAAAGGAAATGTATAATAGAGATTTGCACACAGAAACCCAGTCTGGGGGACAGGGGAGTCCAGGAGTAGAGTAAAGCTTCAAGGAAGACGTGACAGCTGGCTAGTGCCTTTAAGACATGAAGGCACTGATGAGGTAAAAAGAGTGGGAGGAAAAGGCAATTCTGGCAGGGAAGGCTGCATGAGGCACACAGATAAGAAAACACCGTGTAGTGGCGGGAGGAGGATTAGGAGCTGAGATTATTACTGGAACACAAAGCGGGGGATAGGGAGTGTCAAGAGATGAGTCTGGAGAGGCAGGCGGGGGGTTTGGCCATGCAGTGATATAAAGGCCATGTTTAAGAGCTTGGATTTTATCCGAAAGGCATTGAGGAGCCATAGAAGGGTTTGAAGGCCTTTCAGCAGCAAGTCACGATGTCAGATATGCATGGAAAATATATCACCTCAGTGAAACCCGCACAGAATTTGAGGGGGATAATGCTAGAGAAAGGCTCTATTATCGTAGGAGATCAGGGGAAAATCAATGAGGGCTTCGAGCAGGAGAAAGCCAAAAACACATTCAGAAGGTAAAGCTGCCATGATTTAGGGACTGAATGGAGGTAAAGAAAGGAGAGAAACAACTCCCAGGTTCATGGTTTGGTGAGTGGGAAGGTGATGAGATGGTCCAGACAATACAAGAAAAGACAGTTTAGGGGAGAAGACATCTAGTTCAATTTTGGGTTTGAGGATCTTATCTTTAAGGTTCTTTGAGGAAATTGTATAATCTCACTTTATAAGAAAAAAATACACTAGAGGTAAAAAGACACATGTCAAAAAACCAGTAATTGCCTTTGTTAGAGGATTATGGATGATTCCCTTTCTACATTTTCTGACATTTGAAACTGACACATAAAAACAGAAATAAAAATATTTCCTTTAGGATCCGAGATTAGCTCACTCGAAGTTTCCAGTCTTAAGGAACTTAAAAGGCATCACTCTGTCCTAATGACAATTAAAAAGCTGAACACACTGAAAAATCAACAACTCATCTTAGATTCATCAGGGCAAACCATTGTCCCTAAAATTAGAGACAGACAGGCAGACACAGAGGATCACAACTCAACAAACAGAAACCCATGAGCAAAAGCCTCTGTAGGAACAAGTTCCAGGTTAAGAAAACCTGAACTGTAACTGATGTATCGCTGGAGGCTCAGTGTGCACAACTCTGAGAGTTAAATTTCCAGGGAGATCTGGTCACATGCGGACTCCACACTTCTATAAATTTTATCTCCTAGAGCTCTACCAACTCCTCAGAATGAATGTCAGGAAAAATCCCCTACTGCTTCCTGCAGGAGGAGGGGGAAAAGGAACCGTTTTAAAATACACGGAAGCACTCTGTTCTTAACAAGGCCTGCTCTCAGGAGAACCTATTTTACCAGAGTCTAACCAGAGCCTAACCTATGTGGGGAAAAAGAAATACCCAACTGCAGCTCCCTCCAGCTATCCTATAAAATCACGTGGAAACACTTGTGAAGTTCACAGTCCAGGGGCAGAGGCTCACCAAAAGACTGAGACCTAATCATAGGATTACAGAACACTTCTCCCCCCAAACCGTACCACCACATCACTAAAGACCTATTTACATCAGTACACTATGTCCACCTTTTAATAAAAAACTATTAATACGAGACATACTAAAAAGCAAAACAAACAAACAAAAAAACCAAAAAACACAAACAAAAAACAGTTTGAGGAGACAAGCATGAAACTCAGATATAACAAGAATGTTGGAATTATCAGACCAGGAATTTAAAAAAACTATGATTAGTATGCTAGGGGCTTTAATGGAAAAAGTAGAAAACATGTAAGAACAAATAGATAATGTAAGCAGAGAGATGGAAATTCTAAGAAAGAATCAAAAAGGAATGCTAGAGATAAAAAAAAAAATACACCATAACAGAAATGAAGACTGCCTTTGACGGGCTCATTAGTAGACTGGAAACGACTGAGAAAAGAATCTCTGAGCTTGAAGATGTAACAAGAGAAACTTCCAAAACTAACAAGCAAAAGGAAAAAAAGACTGAAAAAAAACTGGAACAGAATATCTAACAACCGGGGTAACACTATAAAAGGAATAACTAACGTAAAATGAGAATACCAGAAAGAGATGAGAGAAAGAAACAAAAGCAATATTTGAAGCAATAATGACTGAGAATTTCCTCCAAATTAATGTCACATGCCAAATCACTAATTCAGGGAGCTCAGAGAACACCAAGCTCAGGACAAAAGTAGAAAACACTAGGATTAGGCATATTTTGTTTACACTTTAGAAAATCAAAGATGACCATGCTAACAAAGAAAAAAAAAGAAACAAAACAATTTATTAATATCAGAAATAAAAGATGATGTATCACTACATACCCCATGGCCATTAAAAATATAAAAGGAATTTAAGAACAACTCTACGCCTGCAATTAGGAAAACCTAGCTGACATGATCCAATTCCTTGAATGACACAATCTGCCAAAACTCACACAAGAAGAAACAGACTATCTGAATAGTCCTGTATCTATTAAAGAAATTGAATCAATAACAGCCTTCTATAAACTCTTCAGAAGATAGAAGTAGACAGAATACTAATATACTCTTGGAGGCAAACATTAACCTAATACCAAAACCAAACAAAGACATCACAAGAAAAAAAAAAAAAAACTACAGACCAATATTTCTCATAAACATAGATGCAAAAATCCTCAACAAAATATTAGCAAATCAGGGCAGGCATGGTGGTTCACACCTGTAATCCTAGCACTTTGGGAAGCTGAGACAGAACAAATGCTTGAGGCCAGGAGTTCGAGACCAGCCTGGGTAATAGAGAGACCCCATCTCTACAAAAAATAAAAAAATCAGCCAGGTGTGGTGACCCACATATGTAGTCCCAGCTACTCAGGAGGCTGAGGCAAGAAGATTGCAAGCTTTAGGTTGCAGTGAACTATGATGACTCCACTGTACTCTAGCCCAGGCAACAGAGTGAGACTCTATCTCCGAAAAAAATAAATAAATAAATTAGCAAATTGAATCCAACAATGTCTAAAAAAATTATGACCAAATGAGATTTATCACAGGTATGCAAGGCTGCCTTAACATTCAAAAATCAATGGAATCATCACATCAACAAGCTTAAGAAGAAAAATCACATGATCATATCAACAGGTGCAGAAAAAACATTTGGCAGAAATCCAATGCCCATTCATAATAAAACAAAACTTTAAGCAAACTAGAAATAAAGAACTTCCTCAACTTCATA